AAACATTGTAAGGAACAGCCAGGTACAGTGTGAAAAATTGGTTTAGTTGCTTGCCTAGAAAAGAAATCTTGATCCGCAGTAGCTTTCTGACAAAGCAGGCAAGCTAAGAGTTATTGTTGGCCATAAATTCACTTCTCCTACTTTGTGCTCAAGCACTTGCTAGTCTGCTGTTTGACACCGTTACCCTAAACATATTTACTTTGAGCTGCTCCAGTGCTTTCCAAAGAACTTCCACAAATCAGCCTTTTACCTGTTGACATACAGTGAAAAATCCACTGGAAATGTTACTGTGAGTTTTTGGGGAGAGGGAAGAAAGTAAGTACAGTGGTACCTCAGGTTAAGAACTTAATTCATTCTAAAGGCCCGTTCTTAACCTGAAACTGTTCTTAACCTGAGGTACCACTTTAGTTAATGGGGCCTCCCGCTGCCGTCACCGCACCACCACTGCTGCGCGATTTCTGTTCTCATCCTGAAGCAAAGTTCTTAACCCGAGGTACTATTTCTGGGTTAGTGGAGTCTGTAACCTGAAGTGGCTTTAACCTGAAGCGTCTGTAACCTGAGGTACCACTGTACTGGAACCAAGCCTTCACCTTCTGATGCAATCCTATTTTGAGCTAAAGTATAATCACTCTACTAGGCAATCAGGGTTCATAGCAATTATTTTTAAACCTATCTTTTTATCATTTGATGGAGTCTTTTGTTCCAATGGAAATGCCTAGTTTGTGGAGCTGGGATTCGGTTGATTATCATCATTTAATTAACTGAAGTAAGCTTTTTAATACATTAAGACAAAATCTGTTTTGCATCTATTTATTCTTGCATTCATGGTCTGAGGCTTTTGCCTTTACCAAGGCAAGATTTGGGGGATGAAATCTGCACGGTGACATTATACCATCAATTCCAATCAATGCTATTTCCAAGATTAGAACCTTGCTTTTCCCTGTTTATATAACCAGACCTCTGGTTCCCTATCAGTGCCAGGGATTTAGGAAGCTGAAAAGCTTGCTCTGAATTGAGGATTATTTCTACACACTGAGGCAAATTTATCCTTGTGGTAAGTCAGATTCCTTCAGTGACGTTACCATAGGAATAGTATTGTCTCAAAGCATTTATTTCAATGTGTTCTTCTGGCTTAGGTTATCTGCAGTATTTGGGTAATAGCTCCCCCCACCCCTTCAGCATGACTTATGAAATCCCAGAGTCTTTACTCCTAGGAATCTAAGCCATGGGTGGGAGCTAACACTTGCTCTAATGTACTTAGTAGAGGCAGCTAATGCCTTTTACACGGCATGCGAATTTGGTCAAAGCAAAATCTTTAATAGAAAAATTAACTTTGTTACGGGAGCAGGGGAATGCCACAACTTGAACCAGTATTAAATCCTTTCTCCTAGTGTTTGTATGTGATGTCAGTCATCATCATCATCACCACAATAAACAAAAACTAAAATACTCATTCAATAATACGTTTTAAAGGAGCAAGACCTACTCACCCTGCTTAATAATAATAATGATTATTATTTGTACCACGCCAATCTGACTAGGTTGCCCCAGCCACTCTGGGGAGCTTCCAACATATATAAAAAAATAACAAAACATTTAACATTACTGGTAATTGACTGAAATAAATAAATAAATACATTAAACATTTTTAAAAATCCCCATACAAGGCTGCCTTCCCCACCTAACTACAAACATCAGAGTTTTTTATTCTTTTCCAAATTAACAAACAGCGGTAGCAATTACAAAATAGCAGCACAGATGAAAAACCGCAATGATATCCCCAAGTTCAAAACTTCCCACTTCCTCCCAAGACTGATATGTTCTAATGAGAGTCTGTGTCCTTTTGCCTTACTCATGATTATTCCAATGACGCCGTCTGTTAGTTAGTGTTCCTTGCTTGCTCTGCCAACATAGAAAACATTGAGAGTATTATGGGGCACCCCAGAAGATGGCAGCAAATAGGCTCCTGTAATTCTATTTGGGCTCTGCAGCTGCAGTCAGTAGAAAAATCAGACCTCCTGATCTAATAAGACAAGAAGACCAGGTCTTGCAAAACCAGAAATTGCCCATGCTCCATGCACTCCAGGGTAAGGATCCAACTGCTGGGGTAGCTGAAAGCCTCCTTTCATAGTAGTGAGTTCATCTAGGAAATATGAGCTCATCTATTTGCAATTTCAGCCAATAGGAATTCCTGCAAAGCTGAGCAAATCCATATTTCAAGTAGATCAGCATTTAGGCCTTGTAGTAAAATCTAACAGCAACCAGTCAGAACGCAGGTGGGGTGCCACCACTGTTGCACCTTCCTGACGGACAGCAAGGACAGGGCAGGGTGGTGGCAATGTTGGGGGAACACCAGGTTGACAGCAGCGAGCCATGATATCTGTGCACTTTCCCTGCCCCATTCTGGTCCCAGCAAGAGGCAGCCAGGTGGGCAGCACACCAGCAGGGTCCTACCTCACGCAAGGTGACTGGAGAAGGCACAAGTCCCCCAAGCAATAAGCTCTGCCTTAACATAACAGTGAAGCGCATCAGGACATTTCCACATATTACCGTTCCAAATATAATGCTCTGCTTAAAGTCACGATCAAGGGGCTTTCATGCACCATCAGGGCCATGCGGCACGGTGGCGAGCTTTATGAAACGCGGATTTTTCATGCAGCAGGAAGCGCCTGTATTTCTGTTTCTGATGAGCTCACTAGGGAAAGCGCCTGAGAAAATCAAGAAGCATTGCTGCTTCATTTAATTCCCAGGAACACAGGGAAGCCCCTATCAGTGCAGGAGGCGAAGCCTGAGTGGAAGAGCGGTGGGAACAGCAGCAACAAAATCAGCCCGGGGAAGACAAACAGCCCACAAGACAGATGGTTAGTAAAATGCAGCAGCAGTGCTGAAGTTCTCTGCTTAGCTAGAAGGAAATCCTCTCTGGCTTTGCTTCTGCCCTCTAGGAAGACTCTTGCATGAACACCATCAGAAGACTTGCCATCTGGCCTTGACTTTAAGGGCTTGTACCTTGTTCTTTCAGAACAGTCACAGCTTTTGAGAACATCACGATCGGCTCATGGTTGCAATCGTCTATTGTTTGATGAAAACCCATCACAAAAATCCAAACAAATCTGCAGTATGCTGAGCTCCATTGGGACAAAAGCTGGGTGATAAATCTGCTGGATCTTGTTTTAGAAAACCTCTGCCCTCTTATACCTATGGAAGCAGCGCCCTCTGAGCTCCGTGTCCCTTGCTTGAGAACATCACAGTCTCTTACAGTAAGATCCATGCATTAAATGTGTGAAGCTTATTATTTAAAATGTTAACCATTTTAAATTTTAATCCCACATTTCTGCAGAACTTTCCATGTAGAAAACAAAGTAATATCACAGGTCCTACATATACAATGTGCAAATTCAATGTACATGTTGAGCCTCATGAATTCTAATAATAGGTATGTCATCTGATTAATGTCTATTATATCCATGCTGCTTAGGAACACAACAGCCAATCCTATGCAGACCTACTCAAAAGCAAACCCTGCGGAGTTCAATGGGGCTTAAGATAACACTCTATTGGATTGCAGCTTTCATTCCAAAACAGGTGTTAATTTGCATGAACAGGGAGAACTCTGGAGTACCTTAAAGAGTAAGATAAATAACCTCTTGCTTCATCAGAAATGATCATATAATGGATATCTGCTTTTTCAGGCAGTTGTAGCCTAGTCCTTTGAAAAATTTACTCAGTCCTAAAGAGCATGGGAGAAGCAGAGAAGACTATCTGCCACCACAACTGAGACCAGGGGGACTTGCTTGCTAGGATGGAGAGCGAATCACACACACACAGAGCTTCAGACTGATGTAGCTGACGGGACTGAACCTCTTGCTGAATTCAAAACTTCTGGTGGTCAACTCTGTCAACAACCCATTCTGGGACTCTCTGCCTGCTGTTGCCTTTAGCTTTCCATCCATACGTACACAGTGGGAGCTTCCTCCATAGCAGAACCCTCACCAACAGTGGTGCTCCTCTCTGCAAATGAAGGCTGGAAGAAAGGCACCAACACACCACCCAAACTCCTTCCAGCCAAGAACGTGGGCACGGATAAGATCAGGAGCAGACTTTGGTAATATTTTCACAATCATTCCTTTTGGCGTAGCTGCCTTTTAATGGATCTTTTCAATAGGCTGTCTGAAACTTCACATTATTACAAAAGCACCCTCTCAGTTTGGTGCCTTATGACGGGGAACCCTCTGCACTGCCCTAAATCCGGCACTGATAATCGCCTTCTTGGTGTACATAGAATTGTATGAATGAATGTTTATTGCGGTCGCAGACCATTCATAGGCATAATGGATCGCAAGACATGGTGAACACACACCGTTTGAATGACAATGCCCATCAACTTTTTGGGGGATGACCCTCTGAAATATTTTAGGGGGGGCGAAGGGACCTCAGTCCCTAGGAGTTGACTCCTATAACACCTTCCCTGCTCCCCCAAGAGAAGCAAAGCTCAGAGAAGGTCGCTGGTCACCCTTTAAATACATCCCTCTTTCATCTGCTGGGGAGGGCAAAGGAAGAGAAATTGTTGTGTTATTATTTGACGGTCTGGCTAGCTGGCTGCTTCTCATGTATCAGATGTCAAGGAAATAAACAACTATCTGACTTTTAGAAGACATCTGAAGCCAGCCCTGTTTAGAGAAGTTTTTAATTTTTGATGTTTTATCGTGTTTTAAATATTCTTTTGGGAGCCGCCCAGGGTGGCTGGGCAGGCGTGGCCAGATGGGCTGGGTATAAGTAATAAATTATCATCATCATCATCATGCAATATTTCCCCACCCGCTGCTCAGTTTCCTCCCGGGTCTTTTCCAACCCAAACCTCCCTTGGGAGACCTCTCCACGTGCGGAAGGCTCCACACCCTGCACCACCGACGGCGCCGCCCCATCCATCTCCAGCGGGGGCGGACCATTCTGCGCCTGGAGTTCTCCCCTGGCATTGCGCTGCCGCTAAGGATTCGGCCCTTGGCAAGCCAACCCGGGAGCGAGAATCGAAACGCTCCTGCCACTGCGAGCTCTCCGGCAGCTTCACCAGCGCGCTCTGTCGCCAGGGCCGTCCGAACTGGTTCGAGCCCGGCTGACTCGGCCAATCGCGAGGCTCCCGACTCCGGAGAGCCAATCCGCTTCGGAGAGGTGGGCGGAGGCGACGGAGCGGGTGCGCAGGGGATGCCTTGTGCGCGCTTAGAGCGCTCGCTTGCTTGCCTGGCGCCGCCGCCGCTCGCCCTCCCGCCAGCTCGCTCCCTTCCGCCGATCTCGAAAACTTCCAGCGCACTCCGGGCAAAGGAGCATGCACGGCGGGCGGAGGCGCAGCGCGAAAGCCCAGGCCCCTGGTCCCACGCCGGATCTCCGCAGCTCTTTGCCATGAAGCACTGGCTCCCGCACCTTCAGGATCAGAGGTAAGCTTGGCCGAGGTGAGGGTGTTCCTTTGGAGGGTCCTTCGTGCTGCGCTTTCCTCGTCCAGACGTAACACTGCGCAGGGTGCTTTGACCCGGGAGGGCAGGGAGTTTTCGGAGTCTCGTTCACCCTTTAAATACACACGTGCCCTAAGGATTATGCACGCGATCCTTCACTCGATTACTCGGAAGCAATCCGCCCTTTGTTCCAGAGGGATTGACGTCGAAGAGTTGGGCATCGAGGTGTAAATCTTACGCGGGGAGATCCGTCGCGCTAGGGTAGGCTTCCTAACGTGCGAAATTATGAATGGAATCGGCTTCCGAGGGGAGTGGAATGAAATGACTGGGGAGCGACAGAGAAGCGACGCGTCGGCAAACTCTGGAGATATATTTGGTGGGGTGTCGATTATTTTGAGATTTATTCAGCATCCCCCAGACGTCACAACGTCCCAGAAAATAATGGCCATGTGTTAGAACGTCGAGGCGCCACAACAGCTTTGCTGTTGAAACTTTGATGTTCAATTGTGGCGACAAGGAAAGCCTCTGGCACCAGATTTCTAAAAATGAAGTTAGGGTGGGGGATAGAAAGAGTAGGATGCGGGGTTGAAAAGGAAAGGGCAGAATGCTGAGGAGAGGAAGCGGAGGTGCATCCCAGTTCAAGGGGAGCTGATACAGCAAACGGCAGATCCCTACTTGCCCCAAGAGAATGATGGGGGGAGCTGGGCTACATTTCCGTGGGCCTTTAAGAGCAGCACATTTTCAGGCGCCAAGACAGAAAACAGAAAAGGGAAACGAATTGCAGGTGGAGGCAAATCTCAGTAGGGAGCTGCAAACCTGGCTAGGTAGCGTTAATTGGGAAGAGATGCATTCCCTACAGCAGTATGTTGGGAGAAGGTGGGATGTCAAAATTGCATGGAGGTGGCTTAATAATCAGACTCGGTAAAGAAGGAGGTGAGTCAGATGGTGGCTGGGACAGGTGGGATTAAGTTTAGGTAACAGTGAGCAGTATGAAGGCTGTAACGGAATGATACTGTAGGCCCCAGGCAAAATGGAAGAAGGGAAAATGTGCAAGAAAGAAATGATTACAAGTGCCAAAAATGAACCTTTGTTATATATAATGTCCCTTTTTATTTATGTAAACGGGAGTCCCTTATAAGCAGAAAAACTGGGGGATATATATGTTGGTATAAAACTGGTGGGGTTGCAATTATGAGTGTTTACATCTGTCCCTCTCCCTTATCATTCACATAAAAGCGATTAGGAGAGATGCCAATAACATAGATGCAAACTTCTGCAAAGTCTCTTGTGTGCAATCAAAGGGTATCTGAATTTTGTTTCCTTTGATTTGAGCATACCCACAGAAAGCAAGCGAGTGGCTAATGTAAATCCATTGAATTCAGTAGGTCTTCTGAGGTCTGCTTCTGAGTATGACTTGGATACAACCTTTCATTTATTTTTATTTGTGAGATGATACAAAGTAATGGCTTCGATACAAAATATGGCTACAAGCTTTTTTGGAATTTGCTTGGTAGATTTATCAGTTAACTCCACAGTCGCAAGTAGACACCTTTCCTTAGAAGTAGGTCCCATTGATTGCCCATGGACCATCCTTTCAAGTAAGCATGCTCAAACTGCAGCCTATAGTTTAAAAATTAAAATTATAGTTAAAGATTAAAATTCGTCCCTCAGCTGATTGGCAAGGGCTGATATGGAAGAGCAAATGACTGGGCAGGTTGTACAGATGGACCCTCTCCTTCCTTGTGCAAAGGTTAAGGGAGAATAATCAGATAACTTTCTTCCCATTTTTATCCAAAGCTATCAGACATTTTGTGCCTTGGAATGAAACCATTGTGGCTTTTCTTCTAGCAATAAGAACAACAAGCAATTGAGTCAGTTGAAATCAATGTCACTATCTTTGCTTAGACCTAGATCAACTGGAATCCTGGAGGGAACATTTTGTACCCTGGTTCAAGTATAATGGAAAATAGCTTATGAAAGACAATATTCCATTTTCTTTTCTTTTATCCAGTTGTTTGAGTAACTTATATGCAGGGGAGCAAGTAGAAGGAACTTTCCTCATAAAGGCTCTGTATTTAAATGCAGTTGATTAATTGATTAAGATCCATGTGCTTAATCAACTTGTAATTGCTTGACAAACACTGCATTAAATAGATATTAAGATTCCTATGCGGGAATCAAAACATAGTTCAGATTCTTGTGGTTTAGCATAATTTTTCTGTGTGACTGGATATCAGCCACGGGTTTATTTTTTCATCAGGCTGGGATGATCAAATCAGTCACTATACCAAATGCAGTGGATTGACACAATTTGAAAACTAGGGAGGTTATTCCCCCACCCCAACGTAACATGCTGAACCATGCTTGCTATCCTATATTATTATCATAACTGAATATACAAAGCTCCATTAGAACCTTAATATTTGTCCTGATCAGCACGGAGACATATGCATATAAAATCTCTTCAGGAACAGCAAACCATTCTTTTTGCTAAATACTTCAAATCAAGCAAAATACTAAGTTCAAAATAATGCACAATAAACAAATACATTCTCACAGAGTCAATGTTTGCGTGTAATTTCAAATAATGTATTCCTTAGCAAAGCATGCTTAAGAGATTCTGTAGGCATAGGATGGGAGAATAGAGAACAAGAAACCTCGTAATCCAACCAGTTAAGCAGTTTAAGGGAGAGAGATTTCAGCAAGTGCTTAATACTCCTGTGGAAATCAATGAATTAATATCAAACTTTGGCTGGGTAATTCTCCAGCTTGATAATGTATCCCAAAGATTTGCTTATCGTTGTTGCTGGCATCTGGTTAAATTCTAAATTGGTTACATTGTTTTTTGGAAGATGTCCCAAAGAGGAAATAGCATTTCTGGTGAGGCCTGTATAGGGTGTGTAATTATTATTCTCTTTCCTTTTTTAAAAAACAACATTAGACATAATTAAAAGAGCAAGATGGTTTCATTTTGTTAAAAGCATTGGATCCATAGTTTCTTTAACTTTTCTCTTACTTCCCACGGATTTGTAAAATCATGTCCATTGGTAGGGAAGTCTCCGAACCATCAATACCTTCTGGTAGTTTAATTCATTTGCCTTTCTGCTTTTTATCACAAAATACTTGTGCTGTCTAAAATGCCCTTTTTATTCATATCTGCCTTTATTTTTGTGTTTATTTAATAAACGTATCGGTCACTTTTCAGCAAAAGCAGCTCTCTCAAAGTGACTTACCAAGAAGAAAATATGTAATTATTACTCATATCCATTAACATTACTACAAAGTTGGACTCAGTTCAAAACCAGGAGCCTGAGTTGGAATGCCTGGCTGTTAAAGAATCAGATGGAAATCTTTCTATTTTATTTTTCTACAAGGACTTGCAAAGGCACAGAGAATATTTTCGTAAGAAATCCATCACTGTTTTTGCTTTAGTATTCTTAAAATTATATGAAACTTTTCTGGCTGACTGCCTAAGGCAGCTATGGGTAGTCAACACGGTGCCTTCTAGATGTTTGACTCTAGATCAGTGGTTCTCAACCTGTGGGTCCCCAAATGTTGTTGGACTACAACTCCCATCATCCCTGAGCTCTGGCCTTGCTAGCTAGGGGTGATGGGAGTTGTAGTTCCACAACATCTGGGGACCCACAGGTTGAGAAAGGCTGCTCTAGATGGTCCCATCAGCTCTAGCCAGCATAGCTAATGGACAGGGAGCATGGGAGTTGCAGTGCATCTGAAGGGTGTGGCACCAGCTATCCTTTCCTTAAGCTGTTGGAAGCCTCTCTTTTGAACTTCATTTATCTTGAGGGTGGAGAAGCTGTAGTGCTGATCAGTCATCCCTGATCAGTGGCTATGGTGGCTGTGAGAGTTCACTGACATTTGGAGGGCCATAGCTTCCCCATCCACGAGCTAACCATATGCTTCTCTTTTAAAGTTCAGCTGCAGAAATAGCTTAGCAACAATTTCAAGTGAAAGTTAAATAGAATAGCTTTATCATAGCTGTCCTGTCCTACATTTCTGATGTATTCTTTCTTTTGGGTGGGGTGGGGGAGAGAGAAGCCCTGGGTATTTGAAGCAGAACATAAGTGACAGAAAGAATTCCAGTGCGATTCCTGCTATTGAACGGCTGCTTTTCTAAATGACTATGTTGTCTTTTCTAAATGACTATGTAGGGACGCGGGTGGCGCTGTGGGTAAAACCTCAGTGCCTAGGACTTGCTGATCGTAAGGTCGGCGGTTTGAATCCCCGCGGCGGGGTGAGCTCCTGCCCACCTAGCAGTTCGAAAGCACCCTTAAGTGCAAGTAGATAAATAGGCACCGCTTTATAGCGGGAAGGTAAACGGCGTTTCTGTGTGCGGCGCTGGTGCTGGCTCGCCAGATGCCGCTTAGTCACGCTGGCCACGTGACCCGGAAGTGTCTCTGGACAGCACTGGCTCCCGGCCTCTTGAGCGAGATGAGCGTGCAACCCTAGAGTCGGACACGACTGGCCCGCATGGGCATGGGTACCTTTACCTTTACCTATGTTGTCTTCAGCCACAAGTGGCTCTCCATATGTAGACACCAGGGGGACTACCAGTGATGGCAGACTTGGGCAGCTGGCTCAAAGCATGCAGGGTGTTTCTTGAGGACACAACAAACCAACCAACCAACAGCCAGCAACTGTTACAGCCGTTTCTCATGAATCGTTGCCATCCGTATTTCTCTTGTCTCAAGATGTGTGGCCTCAGAGATGTTTTGCATATCCCATGTTGAGTAGATCACAAATGAGGCCTGCAAGTCAACTGTACCTCTATGTGGGTTGCCTTTTCTTTTTCCTAGTTATACCCAGGGCTTTTTTCCAGCCGGAACTCACCAGAACTCATTTCTGGCACCTCTCAGGTGGGCACAATTGCCATTACAAGACTTTGGAGCTTTGTGCTGGACTTTGGAGCTTTGCAGAATGAAGAAAGCGAGTCGATTCCACAGTACCCACATCTCCAACCCTGCTCACTCTCGGGGCTCTTACTAGAGCTTACTGGGGAGCAGGGGATTCGCTAAGGGTACCTGCTGGAACTCCAGGTTCTCAGAATGCTCAGTCTGAGGTTTTTTGTGGGGTTCCGCAATGCTCTCGCAGTCACCCCAATCTTCAAAGCATGAGGGCTCTTTCAGCCGAAAGAGCTCCCGTCCGTCATTAATCGGGAGACCAATCAGAAGTCCATGGCTGTTATTTTCCAAGATACATGACATAGAGCAATGTAACTGGTACAGCAGTACCACACAGAAGTGGTGATGGAGGGACACTACTCTGGCCACATTCATACCATACAACCTTTTCAGTACATGAAACTAGACTCAGGGGTTCTAGACTCGGGCATTGAAGGAATAGGGTGGCCATAAAACTATTTGGGAACTTGCCTACTTGTCCTCTCCCTCTTTAAGCTGAATAATTACAATGATGTAGGCTGGTGTTCCTCAGTAGGTAAGGTTGTCTTTGTGTTCCCTGCTCTGAATGATGTGAGCAGTGTAGCGACCCATGAAAGAGTCATTTTGGTGGGGCTTCGTTGTGGTGGTCTCCCCACTGAAGTGCATCTTGCCTCCACAACATATTTGCTGTGACAGGTGAGGATGTCTCTCTCCTGCTAGCCTTCTAGAGGTGAGGTCTTCTAGAGATCTTCACCCTCCATTTTAAGTATGATGCTACTATTATAATAGTTATGAATGAGTTGTATCCAACTTATTTTGACTCAGAGTAGATCCATTTGAATTAATGGACCCAAGTGAGTAATGTCAATTGATTTCAATGAGTCTACTCTGAGTAAGTCTAACACCAGAGACAACCCTAAACATTTTATTTGAATTTGGCTTTAATAATTGTATTCTATATTATATTTTGTTGTTCGTGACTGTTGTGGGGAATGGGTGATATAAAAAAAACACCTTAATAAATAAACTCCACATTGACCAAGCTGGCTAGGGCAGATGGGTGCTGGAGTCCCACAACGTCTGCAGAAGGCTGGGGTGTAGTGCATGGGCTGACTTTTAACATTATGGGATTTCAATGCCGTCACAATTTGGAGGTTTGTCAGCATTGTGGATTTAGTTGCAGCTGCTGTGACTCAAGAAAGTAGGATTGCAGAATAAATCCCCCAAAAGAAATCTTCTAATCAACCCAGCAGTATTGAGATTATTGTCTGAAGGAGGAAAAGTAGGCCTGGGGAAATGGAACCCATGTAAGAACTCTGGGCTTTCTCCAGAATATGAGTTTTTCTCTGAAAAATGTCATTACAGTACTAACAGGCTTTAAATAGTGCCAAAAACTGGAAAGCCCCTTCCTAAAGTATTGTTTCCATCTGTGAAGAGGATTTTGGAATAGGAGTGGCCACACAGCTTGAAAAGGATGAATGGAGGATAATCTCTATTTTTCTGTGTGTCCAATAGAGACAGAAACCTTATACAGAGCGCAGAAGCTGCAGCATTCAACTCCTTGTGTTTTGAAACACAAAACCTCCATTTCACAGTCTCTGTGTGTAGATAAAACCATACAGGGGGTTTTCTCCTGAGATTCTCTCCTCAACAGTCATTAGCAGAGTTGTTTATGATTGGCTGTGAAGGATCAATCTGCGTTTTTGGTTTTGTTCTTATAACTCAGAGGATAATGCAACATAGGAACTAGAGTAAAACTATAGCAGTACTCTTGGTTAAAGAGTGGAGGTGTTTTTTGTGCTTTTAAAAAGAATACCTTATATAATAAACCAGTAAAGTAGTCTGTGCCCTAGATAGGTGTTTTTCACATTTGAAATCCAGAACTTATTTTTCAGAGCTTGATTTGTAAGAATCAACCCAAAGCTTGATTCCTAAGAATCCAGGGGCTGCTTGAAAGTTTAGCAAGACAAACTGGTCCCAGGTTGACCCAGTAGCAAATCTGCAACCAGTGCAAATCTCCGAGCACAGGTGTTGTACGTTGACAAGACCTCATTCCTGTCAGCAATTGTTCTGCAGCATTCTTCACTAACTGTAGCTTCTGGATCAAGAATGAGGGAAGACCCAATAAGTAGAAATAGATTAATAGAGTATTAAAGGGAAAAATAAGGTTAGAATGTGTTAAGATAATTATAGGATAGAAAGCAGAGGAAGATGGTAAGGAATTGCTGAAACAATTAAGAGAAGTGGAATACAAAAAGGGAGGTGTGAGGAGGTCATTGAAATAAGTGAATGAAAGATAAGATATTGAAATTGTTTGATGTGTTTTAAACTGTTTTTGTTTTGTTTTGTTAGTTTAATGTGTTAGTGTTATGTAGTGTTTTTGTATTGTATTGTTCATTTTTTTTGTAGTGTTTAAATTGTTGGAAAAGTAATAAATATTATTTTAAAAAAAAAAGAATGAGGGAAGACCCACATGGAGCGCATTGCAGCAATGCAGTCTTGGAAGTAATCGGGTTAAACCATGAACTACTGTGGCAAGGCTTTCCCAATCCATGAACGCCTGCAGCTGTCAAACCAGATGCAGTTGCTGACAGGAAATTCCTGGATGCAGAAGAACCCTCAAACTTCAAACCTTCTCCTTTGGGGGAATCCAGGGTAAGCAGCAGACCAGTTTCTCAGTCACGGGAATGACTCACCCACAGTTTCATTCTTCATTATTTTTCTGCTCCTTTCCATTCAAATATCTTGGGGTGTTTATCATGTTGGTCTTCAAGGTGGTGGCACAAAATGTTATTGCTTTACTCAATACAGCTATGACTCAGGCAGTCTTCGGAAGTATCATGGTAAATGAGAGCAGACAAGCTGTGTGTCTCACCTATTGCAAACATGAATGCTTGGTGTACTGAAAACTAGTCACTGTTGGCATGTAAACTATGCTAAATAATTTCCCTATGTTAGCATCACATCTCTCTGCCTCTTGCCCCCCTCGGTACCTGACTATGAATGCTATCTGTAACTATTTGAACCAGTGAATTAAGCAGTGTATCAGTGCTTTGTAGATTACGGATATTTAAGGCAATGTGGAAGATAGCTTTGGTTTCTCTTCTTTTATGCAAACTTGCCCAATTGTTATAACAGAAGAGATTAGAAACAGTGAGTTTTAGCTTCCTGTGTATCTTAATATTATTATTATTAATGGGGATGAATGGCAGGCATCTGGGATACTTTGGGCTCAGTAATAGATGTCTAAAATATGTGCAGGCCATTTTTATTTGTTTGATGACATAAATTGTATTAAATTTGGTGCAATCAAATCCTGGCATTTCATACCTCTTGGATTCTATGTTTATAAAATGTTTGTTGGCTTGCTGGAGCTAGCCATGTGGTTGAAAGGGATGACAAGATAGCATTATGAGTTGCTGACCTTCTGTGCTTTTTCGTGTAATCACCAGTAATGATCCCTACATCTGAATATTAAGCTAGGGTTTTCTGGTGCCTGAACATCCCTGTTGAATGAAACCAGCAGCATGCCCTTGCGGAGTTAACATACTGCAGTCAAGGAATTTGTAAAAGAGATCTGCCTGGCCTTTCATGACATTTTAGTTGAACAGACTTGAATCTGCTCCTCTATCTGGCTTTGACATAAATTCATAGTAGTATCCTTAATCACTTCCCTACAAAGCCCTGTTCCAGGATTCAGTCGTTCACTAATGCAGCGTTCGAGAAATAGCATGCTGATTCTTCTGACAAGGATTAGTGCATTCTAAACATCCTGGTGAGTTTTTTGCCCCCTTCCCAATAATACTGTCATTGTGACTGCAGAGGTGAATTTCTGGAAAATAATTCAGTCCAAAAATATATTTTAGTCAACCTATTGCAATAATTACATTTCGTATCTTCCTCCGTGACATTTCATCTTTTCCTCATTCCCAATTATGCTTTAAATTTTCACTGTGCTTTTTATGTGTATTTTTGCTTTCACCTACGGAAAACTGCTGGAAACCATAGGTTTCCATGTATAGGACTAGGCGGCGGCTGTTTAGCCTAGTACTGTCTACAGTGACAGGTGTATTTGGGGGATCCAGGGACCACAGGTATAAAATTTACGGCATGTAATGCCTTAAGAGAGAATATTATGAAAATGATATACAGGTGGTACATGACACCAGTCAAGCTTGCAAAAATCTATCATTTGCCCGATAATAAATGTTGGAAATGTAAAGAAACCGAAGGTACATTCTTTCACCTTTGGTGGACGTGCCCAAGGATTAAGGCTTTCTGGGAGATGATTTATAATGAAATGAAAAGGGTATTTAAATATACCTTTCTGAAGAAACCAGAGGCCTTTCTCCTGGGCATGGTCGGCCAAATGGTGCTAAAGGAGGAGAGAACTTTCTTTATGTATGCCACAACAGCAGCAAGAATACTTATTGCAAAGTATTGGAAGACACAAGACCTACCCACTCTGGAAGAATGGCAGATGAAGGTGATGGACTACATGGAATTGGCGGAAATTACTGGCAGAATCCGAGACCAGGGAGAAGAGTCGGTGGAAGAAGATTGGAAGAAATTTAAAGACTATTTACAGAAATATTGCAAAATTAATGAATGTTAGAATGATGTTGGAATGAAGCTAGGTGGTTTAAGCAGTAATGCTATAAAGGTGTATGTAAAAAGGATTGATAACAGATGAAAATTTAAAGTTATAGTATATTAAGTTAAAGGATCATGAGAAAACAAAGAGGGAAAGAAATTGCTGACTTAACTAATTGAACTGGAATACAAAAAAAGGAGGTATGAGGAGGTCAGGGAAACAAGGATATGAATGTAAGCTATGGAAAGATTGATCCATTTTTCTTTTTTTCTTTTTAAGTGTTTTTTATTCTCTTATTTTGTATTTTGTATTTTTCTTGTATTTTTACTTTTTGTTTTTGTGTAATTCTTTTTTCTCTCTGAAATTTTAATAAATATCATTTTTTTTAAAAAAAGAATCATTTTAAAATGTACTGTCCACTTTTCCTCTGGGCTGCATCATTTCGGATTCCAGATGAGGGCTCACATAATTGAATGTTGCTCTCTGTAAACAGAAAAGCTTGTATGACAGGGAGCATGCTAGATTACAGTCCTGTTCACCAGCATCTAATTTTCTAGGTAGGGGTTTTTTACCTTGTTTTTCTTGCCTAGAGAAGCATTTGGTCATATGGTACAGCCTACATGTAGGTATCTCAGTTTTCTTTATTTACAAAGTGGGAGCTGTGTCAAGATGTTGCGATATGGAGTGTTCTTTTCAGGAATTCAGCCACTCTTTTCCACCACCACCACCACCACCTCTTTTCTGATTTTTTAAAATAAATATTATTGTCCCCCTACAGTTAATCAGAATTTCATGACTCCTGGGCACACTCAGTACTCATTGGATTGTTTTGAGGGTCCTCCCTCTAGGATTTCTCTTCTAAAGTTTTTTTGTACTGCTACAAAACTTGGCATTCACACAGCCCTGCTGATCTCTCTGTCGCGCGTGTGTGCATGCACAGCAATGTTTTGAATGTGTATGCAATGGTGCTCACCATCTGAACATCAGAAATGGAGCAGAGTGTTTAGAGAGCTAATATCCAACATTTTAAGTATATAGAATCCTTAAAGTAGCTGACAAATAAAAACAGAAATAGGTAAATAGTCATAAACAGTATTTATCTTAAGGGTCACAAAAGCTTGTGAAGCAGTAACTTCATTATTCTAGCCAATAATGGAGGCTGTTCTGCTTTTAATGGGTTTCTAACATTGGGTTAGAATCCCCTTCCTTTTTCATCAGTGATACAGTGGTACCTTGATCTACGAACTTAATCCATTCTGGAAGTCCGTTCTTAAACCAAAGTGTTTTTAAACCAAGGCGTGCTTTCCCATAGCAGCGGAGGACTCAGTTTACAAATGGAACACACTCAACAGGAAACAGAACATGTTCTGCTTCCAAGGCAAAGTTCACAAACCAAAACACCTACTTCCGGGTGTTAAGTTGTTCATAAATTAAGCTGTTCTTAATCCAAGGTACCACTGTACAAAGAATGGTGTTTGAATTTCCTCTTTTATATTCTGATTTGAGGGGAACCCATAACTGATGAATATTTACATTAGATTTTGTAATCTTCCACTTTCCATTTCGTGTTAATGATGTTCAGAAGCAATTCAGAGGTTTTTTGGGGTTTCTTAAAGGGTTCTGGCAACATCATATATGAGAAAACTGTTGGTTAGCAAACTTACTGGGTGCTGTTGGACTTGATAGTTGCCTCTTGGCTGACCCTATTTTTTAGTGCTGATGTGATATTAAAATTAGATTGGAGATATATTGCCATCCTGAAGCAATTTGATGGGACATTAGAGTAATTTCTGAATAAGTAATCAGTACCATGCTATAATCTGGTTACACGGTAGGTCTGTTCTTTTCAAAGTGGAGAGTATTTTCTCCTTGGTTTAAAATTTAGAAGCAAAGAATCATTCTTCCCAAGTACACGATATAGCAAATATAAAAAGTCATAAACCCATGTTGCCCCCTGTATTCACTGCTACTGGCAGCATACTTTTGAGAAGGGTCTTAGAGAACAGGAGTTTTCAAGATCAGTGACAGTGGTCATCCCAAAGTTTTGAAGCAACTGATTGAATATTTTTAAATGTCAACAAATCTTCATAACCCTGAGCATTAAATGTAGCACTCATGGGACACTATTGTCTTTTGATATGTGGTTCTAGAAACTGGAGGGAAGGGTTATGAAGGGGTGAACATCTGCTTAAATTCTCCTCGTCGCTGATGGAAAGAGGGACATTTGCAAGAATTCTTTCCCCAACCTGTCCCCATTATACCTTTCACACAAATACCCCACCAGCATTTTCTGCATTGGGACATCAGAGAAAACTGGAGGAGGCAACCGTTGGCTACCGCAAGAGGCACAGACTGCAAATTAAGAGACACAAGTCTCTGGAATTGTGGCATAAGAAGAAATCCTGCAAGCAAGCAGCATATAATGCCTCCCAGTCTGACTTAGAGGCTTCTATTGCCATACAAGATCAAATGAAGCAAATGGGCTGCTTGGCTGTGTGATTCACACTGGAGCCTATGGGAACTTATAACCTGCAGTCCTAGGTGAGTCACCACATAGACCAGTAGAAAACAGACCTGACACCTTCAGTTTCTAGATCTGGCAACTCATGACAAGAGGATAGCCTATTTCCTCCATCCAATTAAATGGGTGGGCAGGGTGAGCTTGCCCCTAATTTTCTGCTGTAAGTCTTCATGTTCTTTGTGACTCTCAGTACCTCATTTGGGCTGCTGATTTTGTTTTTAATAATGTGTTTGTTAGCATGTCTTGGTGGCATGCACATCCTTGTTATTACTTGGTAACTCATTGGCTGGTGTTGGTTGCTTGTTTACTGCCACTGTTGGGAAAAGAAAAGAAAGGATCAGCAGATCATTTGGAAAGTGTGATGTGGCATGCAGGTTGCTTATTAAACACTTAAAAATGTGAATACTTGGGCAAAACTAACACAGAGCAAAGTAGCACTCAAAACATAATGTTTGTCACTGCATGTTTCTTAATGCAACCAGTACCATGCCTGTTGATAGAAGTCAATTTGTGCCTAATAAACAATCCAAATGATTAGGGCATGGTTAATTTAACTACCCATCTAAAAATTCTTCCTACCTAAGATTCATGCGGAATGGTTGTCTAGGAAATTTTCTATTTTGGTTGTAGCCAGAAACATAGAAACAGCTCAAACTTAGCCTATCACACTGAATTGTTCCTGCTTGGTTGGTAATCAAAATTTCATGAAAGCTCCATTTGAACCAAAGTCCTGAATTTCCAAGAGCTCAGCGCCTCTTGAACTGCATAAACTGGAGGAAAATGAAGGTGGATCTCCATTTGTTCTGGGGATAATGGCTCAGCACAGATCCTTAGTCCTCCTCTCCATTAATGCTCTCTATCCCCCCTCCCAATCCCCAAATGACTATCAGATTTGATGAGCTGGAGAAAAGAAAGGATTGAGTGTTCCAGTCCTTCCTGTCCCCATTCCTCTTAATGTCCACCCTCACTGCCCATCTTTCCACCTTTAAGCTTGAATGTAATTAACACAATCTGTATTTCATTGTCCTCTGACGTCACTGTTTCCATTCCTCAAACCCCACACCCATGTCTGCGATACATCATGCCAGAATGAATTTGTTAAGTCTTTGATATGTCGTGAGACTTGGTGGTTTTTACTGAGAACTAATGGAGCCTGCATCTGCATTGCCCTAATTTGGATTCAGTTTTTTCCTAAGTTAAGTGCAGAGGCAGCCAATATGGTACCCCACATTGGGCTACAACTCCTGTTGGCCATGTTGACTCGGGCTGCTGGGAGATGTAGTTCATCAACATCAAGAGGGCACCTCATTGGCTACTCCTTGTCTAGTCTGTGTTGGAATGTTAGAAGACCCATCTTTTGCCTAGGATCTTAAACAGGTGTTTGAGATGTTTACCGCATGTTCATAATTTGAGTTTCTGTGATGCTGAATTTAGCTTAACTTGGTGCGGAATTACAGAAGTGTTATACCAAGTTCTAAAAGTCCTGCTTCATAGTTGGCAACCTCAAAAGGTATTATGTACTCTCCATTAGTATTTCAGAGTGGCATGTTAATACACTAATATCCTAATGTAGGAGTGTAGGACAAAGCAGGCCTCTGTCATAGAATTTACAGTCAGAATAATCGTTTTGGGTACCTTTTTTAACAAAAGCCAACAGCGTTACAAGTAGAATATTTAAAGGGGATAATAAACTCCATAGAGCTGCCCAACTCTTCCACAAAGCAGGATCTGTCTAATCCAGTGTGCCAGAAAAAGAAAAGAGGCTCATGACAGATCTCTCCAGGTGAATGTTTCATTTGCATCAGCATTGTGGGGATGATAACACCCACACACCCATTCCTGGTTATACAGTGGTACCTCTGGTTGTGAAAGGGGTCCGTTCCACAGCCCCGTTTGCAACATGAGCAGAACGCAACCTGCGTCTGAGCGTGCGCGGGTCACGATTCGCCGCTTCTGTGCATGTGCGTGACGTCATTTTGAGCGTCTGCGCAAGCGGTGAAACCCGGAAGTAACCCTTTCTGGTACTTCTGGGTCGCCGTGGGACGCAACCTGAAAAGATTTAACCGGAAGCAAAATTAACAAGAGGTATGACTGCACAGCATTTAAAAAGCCCAAATATTATTTTACTTGTATTTAATTTATCTAGAACACCAAGTCCAAATATTATTTGAATTTTACAATGCTAGGCTTTAATCACTGCCACCCCTCTCTCTGTGGATGTGGGTGTGAATAATCCTTCAATTTCTTGTAATAAAGAAGCCATTGTTTGAGTGACAGGAATGATTATTATTATTATTACTATTATTAAATGTTGTTTGGTTGTAACACCTACAGTATTTATCTTAAAAGTCCCATAATAAGAGAATTGTTTGCTGCAGATGGGTTTGCATCCATATAATTTTTTAAAAAAAGGAAAAACTCCTGATGCACATTTGAGTCATCTAGTTCCCTCCAACAATGCAGTGAAAACAAGCCATAATATTCCTGATTCATTTACAATACAACTAAAAAAATTGTTTTTATCGGGCGGGGGGGGGGGGAGAGTATCCTAGCAGAAGACCTTTCTATCCTGTTTCATAAAATTGATACACTGCTAGATTATAGAAAACCTCAAAGCTGTTTACAAAAAGATAAAACAATAAAATCTAGTGCGTTTTCTGTGAGTCTAACAACTAAAATTGCCAACTTTTATTTTCTCTCCCTCCCACTTATTTCATATTAGGGCGCAGAAGAAATCACCCTTATATTTAGACCAAACACATTTTTCTTTATTACCCATGTAGAAAATCCAAAACAGATGGGTAAACATAGATATTTGTTGTTAACACTTAATTATTCTCATTTGAAGAAGATTTAAAATGGGGAAAATACAGAATTTTGGGGTTTGGGGCAAAATGTACAAATGTAAGACTGGCATTTTGATCCTTACTTAAAACATCCCCAAGCTCTGTTGGATTTGAACATTTTAATTCTAAGTACATTTGTGATTATTTTGCTAACAAAGTCAACATTATTTCAAATTCTGCAATAGCAATTCACAAGAACACTAGCATTTCAATACTTGTGGCTTCTAGTGTCAAGGTTATGAACATTAAAATAATATCATTTGAACAAATATAGTTGAAATGGAGAGGGAAGCTTGGATTTTTACTATAAACGTAGCTTTTTGTGAGTGGGGTAGGAGGAAGCCATGCAAACTATGATCAGAATAGTTTCCAAACCAGAGTTTCAGCTGCTGCCATTTTTTAGACTTATTTTCATAAACACTCTACGGTCATGGGCTGTATGCCCCTAAATACCAGTCTGGGGCAGGAGATGGATATTGCACTCATGTCCTACTTGAGGGAAAGGATTGTGTTCTTAATCTTGTTTTGGGTTCTGAGGACCTCTTGAGAATCTGCAGTCTTTGGGCTAAACTGATGTGATATTGATTGCGTGAATGCAAAAGCGTGCCTGTTTGTTTGTTTTTGCAGTGGTTTTCAACAGCACAGAGACTTCACCTGAATATCTTCCTTTCATGTTAGACAAGGGGGAGGTTGTGTGAGGAAGGACCTCTAGAGGTGTGCAAGTCCTGTGTGAACACATTTTTGCCAGTGAATATAGGGGGAATGGCACAGTCAGTCTTCTTATCAAGTGAGTACCACTCGTGGTGATGGGTAAACAAGAACTTTGCTACCCATCTGTAATGTGGAAACAGTAGTGACCCATATCACAGGATAATCTTGAGGATAAGCCCATGAGAATGATAAATACAGCTGAAACATGCTAGATACACAATACAGAATGAAACTTAGAGTGGTGAATGGCACTATTTAGTGGGAAGAAACCCAAATTAAAATACTTATTACATATTTTTACATGGCTGTTTATTTGTATACATTTTAGAATTTTATATATGGATGTTTTATGATCACCAAACCATTATTAGGCATTACAAATATAGGTTAAGTTGTAAAAGTGGACTGAAACTTCAGTCAAAAAAACTGATAATGCCGGAATTGACCACTGGAACCCTAAGGATGCAGCACAAATGAATCTGCGAGATTTTGGCACTTGAAGTTAGTTTGTTATAGTAAAAGAATGCTATTTGCAAATGTATACTGTCTGGTTCAGAATTTCCACAAGGTGCAGAGTAACAGTGTTACCTAATCAGGAGGTATCTTTTGCTTATGATGCAAGTTGCTAGGCAATGGAGAAGAAGAAAAAATAACCAGGCTGTTCTGTGTTGGTGCTTCATAATAATAAGTCACTTAGCAGTGCAGGCATATTTAAGGGAGCCCAAGCCTTCTAAGAACACACATTTTTTCTTACACTGTAAACTCACATTATCATTCACTTTTTGCTATCATTGCTTGTTGAAGCAATAGGGAACAATCTTGTAAAGGTAGCTTTTAATTCCGATCTTATCCTTCACCCTTCTGCCCTCAAAGTGACCCTAATACCATGAAACAAAAATTGCCTGTGGTTGCAGAAGAATAGAATGCAGACAATACCAGACAATAGCAGCAGAACCAAGTACAGTGGTACCTCGGGTTAAGTACTTAATTCGTTCCGGAGGTCCATTGTTAACCTGAAACTGTTCTTAACCTGAAGCACCACTTTAGCTAGAGGGGCCTCCCGCTGCCACTGTTCTCATCCTGAAGCAAAGTTCTTAACCTGAGGTAATATTTCTGGGTTAGTGGAGTCTGTAACCTGAAGCGTATGTAACCCGAGGTACCACTGTATGTGCAAACTAACTACATAGGGAGGGCAGCAATAAGATCATATATTTCAACCTACAAAAAACACTTCCACAAGAACTGGGCTTTAGGTAGCTGTACAATCATTTGAACTTGCTTGCCCAGGGTAGGCATTAGTGCAAATCTAACACTGGATCTCCTGGGACGCTGGCATTGCCAGCTAGGATACCAGGATTTCATCCAGGTCACCCATATGGGAAACCAATTCAAATATGCCCACAGGTAGGGATGAAAGGATCTGTCAATTCCATTTCTTTACGTTCCTCATTTTTCCCAGTCTTAAATTTGGTTCTCCACATTTACGAATTTTCATTTTAATCTTAATCATGAAAATTATTCAGCATTTTAGTGAAATTTTCTCCTAATGAATATATTTTTGTGTGCACACATTGATGTACACATTTTGCAAGCAGTTTCTCCTAAGGCATGTTCTTGGTTATTTTTAGCCAAATATTCGGGTTTTTTGCACACATTCACCTAATACGTGCATTTTTTTAAAAAATGAGAAACAGCATCGCAAAATTCAGATTAGTGGGAATTTTAGAGTATGGCTGTTTCTGTTCTCATATTGGATCAGAAAGTGCAAATCTGATAAATTCAGCTTCCTATGTGAACTGAATTGATTTTCTCTCCATCCCTACCCACAGATTACATTCTTCTCAGGAGCATATGAATAAGCCTTCATATGTCTGGCATCTTGACTATTCCTTTTTTTTAAAAAAAAAGATATTTATTAAGATTTTCAAAATGTTACAAAACAAAAACAAACAAAAAAAGTACAAAAATAAAAATAGCTAAAAATTTCTCAATCTTTCCATTACTTATTTTTCATTAGCTTATTTCCCGGACCTCCTCATGCCTCCCTTTTTTTGTATTCCAGTTCAGTTTGTTGATTCAGCAAATCCTTACCCTCTTTGTTTATCCTAGTCTTTAATCTTAAAGTATTGTAACGTTAAATTTTTACCTATTAATAATCCATTTTTCATATTCCCTTATAGTATTACAGCTGAAAACCACTTAATTTCTATCCAACATCATTCTAACATTCATTAATTTTACAATATTTCTGTAGATAGTCCTTAAATTTCTTCCAATCTTCTTCCACCGACTCTTCTCCCTGGTCTCGGATTCTGCCAGTCATTTCCGCCAGTTCCATATAGTCCATCACCTTCATCTGCCATTCTTCCAGAGTGGGTAGATCTTGTGTCTTCCAATACTTTGCAATGAGTATTCTTGCTGCTGTTGTGGCATACATAAAAAAAGTTCTGTCCTTCTTTGGCACCAATTGGCCGACTATGCCCAGGAGAAAGGCCTCTGGTTTCTTCAAGAAGGTATATTTAAATACCTTTTTCAATTCATTATATATCATCTCCCAGAAAGCCTTAATCCTTGGGCACGTCCACCAAAGGTGAAAGAATGTACCTTCAGTTTCTTTACATTTCCAACATTTGTTATCGGGCAAATGATAAATTTTTGCAAGCTTGACTGGGGTCATGTACCACCTGTATATCATTTTCATAATATTCTCTCTTAAGGCATTACATGCCGTAAACTTCATACCTGTGGTCCATAACTGTTCCCAGTCAGCCATCATTATGTTATGTCCAACATCTTGTGCCCATTTGATCATAGCAGATTTCACCGTTTCATCCTGAGTATTCCATTTCAACAGCAAGTTATACATCTTTGACAAAATCTTAGTTTTGGGTTCTAACAGTTCTGTTTCTAATTTTGATTTTTCCACCTGGAAACCAATTTTCTTGTCCAAATTATATGCCTCCATTATCTGATAGTAATGAAGCCAGTCTCGCACTTTGTTTTAATTTCTCAAAACTCTGCAATTTCAGTCTATCTCCATCTTGTTCCAAAATTTCCCAATATTTCGGCCATTTGGCCTCCATATTGAGCTTTTTCAGAGCTTTCGCTTCCATCGGTGACAGCCACCTTGGGGTTTTATTTTCCAATAAGTCCTTATATCTTATCCAAACATTAAACAATGCTTTCCTGACAATATGGTTTTTAAATGCTTTATGTGCTTTGACCTTATCATACCACAGATATGCATGCCATCCAAATACATTGTTAAAACCTTCTAGGTCCAAAATGTCAGTGTTTTCAAGAAGCAGCCATTCTTTCAACCAGCAAAAAGCTGCTGATTCATAGTAAAGTTTGAAGTCTGGCAGGGCAAATCCACCTCTTTCCTTTGCATAAGTTAATATCTTAAATTTTATTCTGGGCTTCTTGCCCTGCCAGACAAATCTAGAGATGTCTCTCTGCCACTTCTTGAAGCAATCCATTTTGTCCACAATTTGCAATGTTTGAAACAAAAACAACATTCTAGGCAATACATTCATTTTTATCGCAGCAATACGACCCAGCAGTGAAAGCTTCAAATTTGACCAAATTTCTAAATCTTTTTTCACTTCAGCCCAGCATTTTTCATAGTTGTCTTTAAATAGGTTCCCATTTTTTGCTGTCATATTAATCCCCAGGTATTTCACTTTCTTAACCACTGTTAAACCTGTTTCATTCTGAAACCTCTCTCTCTCAATCGGTGTTAAGTTTTCTCTAAAACCTTGGTTTTTAACTTATTCAGTTTAAATCCAGCAACCTGACCAAATTCTTGAATCAGTTCTAAAACCCTTTTGGTACTAGATTCTGGCTCCTGTAACGTCAGTACTAAGTCATCTGCAAATGCTCTCAATTTGTACTGTTTAGCTCCGACTTGTATACCTTTAACCAACTGGTCCCTTCTAATCATATTCAGCAAAACCTCCAGGACCGATATAAACAGCAATGGGGAAATTGGGCAGCCTTGTCGTGTCCCTTTTTCTATCTTAAATTCTTCCGTCACCACATTATTTACAATTAGTTTAGCCTTTTGTTCTGAATAAATTGCACTTATACCGTTTTCAAAGCCTTGGCCTACCCCCATCCCCTGTAGGTTCTTCTTCATAAAACTCCAAGAGATATTGTCAAAAGCTTTCTCCGCGTCCACAAATATCAAAACTGCTTTAGTATTTATGTTCACTTCTAGTTTTTCCAAAATATCAATTATATTCCTCAAATTGTCAGACAAGTGTCTTCCCGGGAGAAAGCCCGCTTGGTCTTTATGGATCTCTTCCATCAACACTTTTTTCAATCTCTTGGCCAAAATGTCTGCAAAAATTTTGTAATCCACATTAAGTAATGATATGGGGCGGTAGTTCTTAAGCTGAGTCTTTTCAGTCTCTGTTTTCGGTATAAGTGTAATATACGCTTCTTTCCACGACTCTGGTGCCCTTTCCCTTCCAATATTTCATTACAGACTTCCTTTAAAGGTTGTACTAACCACTCTTTCAAGGATCTATAGTATCTAGAAGTCAGCCCATCCGGTCCTGGAGATTTGCCTAATTGCATGTTTTGAATGGCACCTTCTACTTCCTGTTCAGATATTTTATAATTCAACATTAATTTACTTTCTTGAGAGATTTTTTGTAATCCATTTGTCTTCAAAAATCGATCTATGTCCATTTCTTTCTGTGGCCCTTGTGTGTATAATTGTTTAAAGTACCTCTGGAAACAGTTTCTAATCTCAGTTGGGTTGTGTATGTTCTTTCCTTCCACTTCTAAATTTGTGATAGTATTTAATTTTTGTCTTTTTTTCATTTGCCAAGCCAACAATTTCCCACATTTATTAGCTGATTCAAATGTTTTTTGTCTCATTTGTTTAATTTTCCATTCTATTTCCTGATTCATCATTTCCATATATTGTACTTGATATAACTTTATTTCTCTCAAAATCTCCTGCAACTTTGGTTTTGCTCTCAATTTCTTCTCGCTTTCTTTTATTTTCTCCAGAATTTTATCTTTCTTCTCATTTTGGCTTCTCTTCTTTATAGCATTCTGTTGTATCAGAAACCCTCTCATGACCGCTTTGCTTGCGTCCCAGATTACTCTTTTTCTACATTAGTATTCATATTTATCTCAAAATAGTCTCTCAAGGTTTTTGGGCCTTTTTATACACTTCTTCATCTCTGAATAAGGTGTCATTCATCCTCCATCTGAAGGAGCCAGTTGATATTAGTTTCATCTCCATCCTTACAGCATTATGGTCGGAGCAGGTTTTTGGACAAATTTCTGCTTTCTTTATCTTTGGTGCCATTCCTCTAGTTACCCATATTTGGTCGATTCTAGTCCATGTCATCTTGGCTTCAGAAAAGAAGGTTCCCTCTCTTCCCAAGGGATTCTTTGTTCTCCAAATATCAACTAAGTCCAAGTTGTCGGTCATCTCAAAAAATGTTTTCGGTAGTCTATCATCCTTGGTGACCACTTGTCTTTGTGCCTTATCCATATTTGTAGATACTACTCCAGGCATATCCGCCATCAAAATCAGATTGTAATCCAAATAATCCATTAAGGTCTCATGCAACTTTTTAAAGAATTCAGATTTCCCCTCGTTCGGTGTATAAATTCCTACTATCAAAAATTTCTCTCCTTGAACTTGAATTTCAATTGCCACAAATCTTCCTTGGTCATCTTTAAAAATGAATTTCGGCAATAGTCTCTCCTTTGCATAAATCACTACTCCTCTTTTTTTAACTTTATCAGATGAAATAAACTCCTGTCCCAATCTCTTGTTAATCAATACTTTCCTGTGTAGCCTTATCACGTGTGTTTCCTGTAGGCAAATCAAGTCCAATTGTTCCTTTTTAATAAATGAAAGACACTTTTCCTTTTCCGAGGAGAATTGAGGCCATTACAATTCCAACTTAAAAGTTGCAGAGCCATGATGGGGTTACTTCGCTTTACCTCCAACTGCGCCAAGTGTTTGTTCTTGTTCTGTCGGTGGTGTCACTTTCTCTGGACCATGCAATCCAAAAGATAAGTTTGCTATATCTATTATTCCTCTTTCCAGTGCTTTTGGCTCTTCTCCAGATTCCACTTCTTTCTGTAGATCTTCTCCGTGGTCTTTCAAGAATTTATCTTTATCATTGACTGATCTTATTTTTATCTTTCTTCCTTTATATTTAAAAGACAGGCCTTGGGGGAATTCCCACCTAAAGATGATTCTATTACTTCTCAGCAGGGCAACCAGATTAAGCCTTAAGTCCGTAATTAAGCCTTAAGTCCAAAAGATGTTTTGGAATGTCCTTAAATATCTCCACACTTGAATCATATATTTCCAGAGTCTTTTGGTAATGCAGATTCAAGATTTTATCTCTCTCCTCTTTTGTTCGAAGGGTAATCAAACAGTCTCTCACCTTGTTCTTCCTTCCTCCTCTTCCAAGTCTAAATGCGCTCACTATCTTAAATTCTTCCTTCCCCAAATCCTGTTGCCAGAAGTCTGCGAATTCCTGCGTAAGAAAGTCAATCAAGTTATCTTTCTCAAGTTCTGGTACAGCCCTGATTCTCAAATTTCTTTGTTTCTCCTTAAATTCAATCATAGACAACGTCAAACCGTGGTCCTCAAGTTGCCTATATATCGGTGGTATCTTCTCTTGAGTGGCAGTTGCTATGTCTTTTGCTTCTTCAGCTGTCTTTCGGGTCGAAGCAGATTCCTGTAACAATTTCTCAATAGTCTCTGTATTGGTATTCACCTTCTGTCCCAAATTATTGATACTTGTAGTATTTTGATCAATTTTAACTGATGCTTCGGCTACTTGTTTAGTTAACTTTTCCAAAGATTCATTAATTTTTCCTAGCGCCAGAGCCAAAACATCTTCAGACGACATTACTTTTGGTTTAACTTGTGGGGGTGCAGCCCCTGATAATCCAGATGGTCCAGAAGGACCAGATGTTGAAGCTCTTCGCTGCGATGCAGTATCTGTCTGATAGGGTCTGCCAGACCTAGTAGTTTTTTCCTCTAACTTTCCTCTTCCATCTGCCATAACACTCTCAAGAAGTCCAAGGTCAGTCCCACGGTTAGAATTTGTTTTGAAATGGAAAGTTCCCCAAGCTTCAAGTTGTTATTGTAGCAATGTCCTCTAGGGGGACACAGTAACAGTCAAAACTTGCAACTTGAAAGAAAAAAAAGAAAAAAAATAATCCTTATAGATCCCCCAATTCACGAAAAAACAACAGTTTCAATTGCACTTAATCAGTTACTTTAAAGCCAGGAGAAGTCCAGAAACACTGTATCTCTCTTGCGGAGTTAGCTGTCAAAAGCTGTCAAAAGTACTCTGTTTACCGATAGTGCTTTTCACAGAGCGGCATTCCTTGTCTCAGGGCAGTCCGTTCCCAGGCTCTAAGCGATGGATTTTAGCTTCCTTTCCCTCTTTTTTTGCAGGTAGATACAGTTCAAACCTTTCCCCCCTCCTCTCCTGCAATCCGGAGGGCAGATCGCTTTTCTGATGTTAGGATTTAAGTCTTTTTTCAAACGTCTTTCAAGGTTTCCGCTTACAGTCTCTTTGCTTTGATCTATTTACAAGAAAGGAAGGCGGACTTCCTGTTTATGCCTTCCCGCTTCGGTGCCGAATTAAATTATTTTTTCCTTTAAATCCAGTTTTATCCTACTCACGGGTAGTTACTTTAGAAGTCAATTGTCCCAGGAAGAAGTCAGCGCTCTCCGATAACGGCTGTGCGGCTTCACTCCGCGGAAAAAGCAGTCGACTCTCAGCACCGGATCCCCTAAAAGGGTCCCTTCGCAGTTTGGGGGGGCGCAAAAGGTGCCCGCCGAGTCCCCACGTTCACAGGCTTCACCCGCCTGTGATTTTTAAAGGGTCCCCGCTTCGGCATCTTGACTATTCCTGTTCAATCAAGTGCATATCTGTGTCAATTTGGGGCCATCCCCTGAAAAAAAAAGGTATAACAGGATCTCAGGAAAGAGCAACGTGTTGCATCAAATACTGTGGTAGTACACACTATTGTTTGTTTACAAAATATTTATCCTAGTAACCTGTTTTACTTCTTTTCAAGATGTCGTTTTGATTCATCCATGCACCAATGGCTGGAAGAAAAAACGCAAATTGACCCAGTCAGATGTTTCGCACCAGGCTTTTAGCTTTGAGACAATGTGCACTCAGCTTCATTCGAGAAAACCCATAGAGTTTGAAAGAGAAATACAAAATGACATGGTGTGTAATGCTAGGCCTTGCAAAGAGATGGGCAGTCAAACTGGAGAGTAATGTAAATTGGCAGATATCAAGTTTAGAAACTATTTTGATTTATAAAAATTAGCCCCATACCCTAAAATTGGTTCAGGAAAGCTATGGGATAGCTCACTCATGTAAGGAAACTATAGCTACACAGACTCCTGTCTCCCTCCCACCCTGAACAACACTGAAATGTTTTCTGGTGACAACCATGCCACTGTGAGACGTTGGGTGATTTGTAGAGATTAATTTTCTTTCTGTTTCTCTTAACAGCGACCGGCGCAAAGCTAACTACATGTATAAAGTGTGGCAAGGAGCACTGGGAGACGGCTAAAACACAGTCATGTCTTCAGTTTGGCGCACCATTTCAGCTCTTCACGTGAACTACAAGAAACTGATATGCCTCTTGGTCGTCGCCGTAAGCGTATGCCACAGTGCCTCTGCGATGTGTCCTGCCGCTTGCATTTGTGCCAGCGACATTGTGAGCTGCACCGGCAAGAACCTCTCGAGAGTGCCCGCAGCGCTCTTCAAGCACACGAAAAGATTGGATCTCAGTCACAACCGAATTGGGATTTTGGATCACGACTGGATGCCAGTGTTGCTTGATAAACTGGCCACCCTCATCGTCAGCCACAACGGCATCACGAGTATCTCCACAGGAAGCTTTTCTGCGACTCCAAATATCAAGTACCTCGACTTGTCGTCCAACAGCTTGAGGTCGCTTGGCAGTCCTGTCTTCCAGGAACTGAGAGTTCTGGAGATTTTGTTGCTGTATAACAATCACATTGCCCATGTCGATTCTGCTGCTTTTGGAGGGATACACAAATTGCAGAAGCTCTATTTGAGTTACAATTCTCTCTCCCAGTTCCCGATCGACTTGTACATTGGGAAACGCAAACTCTCTGAACTTGTGCTATTAGACATTTCTTACAACCAAATCCAGTCGATACCCATTCACTACATGAGCTTAGTGCCGGCTAGACATCTTAGTGGGATCTATCTTCATGGGAACCCCTTTTACTGTGACTGCACACTTTACTCCATGCTAAACTTCTGGTATCTTAGACACTTCAGCTCGGTGGAGGATTTCAAGGCTGAGTACACATGTGTGTTGCGGTCAGGCTCCAATATGAATAAACTGCCCTTATTGCACGACAACTACTTGAATTGCTCGGAAAGCACCATCAATGGCTCTTTCCACGCATTTGGCTTTATTCAGGAAGCTCAACTTGGGGAGAGGCTGATCGTACCTTGCGACACTAAAATCAGCGATGCAGGCACCCACTTTGTTTGGATCAGCCCAGACAATCAGTTTTTGGAGCCCAGCAAAGATATTGAACACTTCAGAGTATTTCTCAATGGGAGTCTGGAAATCGACGAGGTCCAGTATGAGGATGCTGGACTTTATTCCTGCATTGCAATAAACAGGAAAAGACTGTTGAATGAGACCATCGAGGTGAGGATCAATGTGAGCAATTTCACCGTGGACCGGTCTCACTCCCACGAAACCTTCAACACGGCTTTCACCACCCTCGCCGCTTGTGTAGCCAGCATTATCTTGGTCCTCCTTTACCTCTACCTGACGCCATGCCCTTGTCGGTGCAGGTCCAAGAGAAGAAAAAGGCAGCCAAGCCAAAGTAACCCACATGCCTCCATATTGACCTCGAATCCTCCCCTGGACCTTCCAGCTGATGAGAAAAAAGCCAGCAGCGGCAAGAGGGTGGTGTTCCTTGAGCCCGTGAAGGAGCCAAAGCCGGGACAGAATGGGAAAGTAAAGATGTTTCCTGGTGAGAACATCATTGCGGAAAGTATCCTAAAAACTCCCCGAACGAAATCGGAATCCGATTCCATGAACTCGGTGTTTTCGGACACGCCTTTCATGCCGTCCTCTTAGCTTCCTGCCTGCATTCGCATTATATGGCTAACTCTTTCAACAGCTAGCTGTCCTGCCTCTAGCCAATCTTTAAAGAATAGGGGAAACTCTTTCAAACCAAAAGAAATGGTGAGTTCGTTCTGATAGGTGGTGGTTACATGCCCTTCATTCTGTAAACCTGGACCAGTGCTGGGGAGGAACACTTTGCTAGATGGCTTTTGCAGCTCTCTGCTTTGAAGAGGCCACATCATGGCAGATGCCACAGCTGTTTCAATTTCTGTGCTTACAGGCATGTGAGTGCCGTTCAATGAGTGGCGTTTGTTCGCCTCTCCCATTCACTTCAGTGAAGCTTGTATTGGAGAGCTTCCCAGCAGATTAGATCCTTGGCTGCGTACCTGTATAGAATTTGTGCAATTGTAATTATCAGGGATCAGAACCACAATCAATATGGCTCCTAGAGCTTAGATTGATAGGGAAAGAGAGAAATAGCCATTTACTAAACTTCTAGTTTCTGCCTTTAGGCACTGAGCACATAACAGAAACAAAGGAAGTGATACAACAGAAATATTTCAGAATGGGCTTTTGTATAAATTATGACCTAAGCTTTGTGATTTTGGGGGGAGGGGAGCTGTCATCTCCTTCTGAATACTAGAGATTCAGTAGCCAGTAACCGAATGTATGATTATGTGGTATAAATAAACTTTCACTATATGAAAACTTTGACAGAAAACACTTGTCCAAAGTTACGATCTATAAACCACTTTAGCCTTTAATGCTTTTCTCTCAAAAGGGTCAGCGCTTTGGTCCTATTAAGAAATTGGAGCCAGAGCGATGTTCAACAGGTAAAGTTTCCCCACCAGTGCACAGAGATGGGAGAAGCTGCACCTTTGGAATATCTGGGTTCCTCACCATTCTTAAAGAGACAGGAGCTATGTTGCTTCTGGAATGTGGCCACTTCAGCCTACCTACTTATTCTGAAACTTGCATATGTGGTGTGTGGCTTGAGGACAGAATATCTTAAGAGAGGAATGCAGAGGATTCGTTTGGAAGTAAAGGAACCAGGGTTTGTGCAATTAGATGTTTTGTATATGAGCTACTGCACTTTGAATACTTTTGCTGACTTAATGAGAGCCATAATGGAAACCACCAATCCCAAATTGAATCCAGCAGGAGCAGCCAGGCCTTCTCATTATCAGCGATTCAATGGCTGGCATGTCCGGACATTGCCTTCTACAGCTGACGGGGGAACCTGGTTGCATCCAATTTCCCGGATTGCAGCCTTACTTAGAAGAATCGGAGTAATTCGGCAGGTTTTTCAGAACATATTAATGTACTAATTTACAGGCATATAAATTGCAATGTATCAATTTACAGGCATATAAATGACGATGTAATGAAATTTGCATTTCGTGGTTTGATATAGAAAGCATCAATTAAGTACTTATTTCTAGGCTTATTAGTTTCGAGAATTTTCCATTCCTAGCAGAAGAACTGGAATTTTGTAGGATTAGGCCTTTATAGTGATTTCCATCTGCTTTAGTATGGTTTTTGTTATAAAATAGACTACCAAAAAAAAAAAAGCCGTGTTGTTCCTAGAAAACAGAAGACCCCAATATTTTAGTGTTGTTTGTACTTTTTGCACTCTGATCAAGTAGGTATACTTTGCTGCAACAGCACATGGAATAGCTTGTTCAGCCAAGGCTTCAGTCGCATTGTGTCCTTGGGAACTGGGAGAAGCCAGCCTTCGTGTTTTGCTTGCCAGTTGCAATCATCTTATGAAGGTTGCTGTCAAATATTTCTCATGTATAACCATGTTCTGTGTGGCGCTTGAAATGCCTTTGGGATGACCCTTGGATGAGTTTTCCCCAGTCCTCCCCCACTTCTCCATCCTCAACTGAGCCAAGGAGAAGCTTTTATATCAAGTTGTGTTTAATGTGTAATGTCTGGCTGGCAAAGTTTCACTAACCCTGTGATGCTCTATGCATAAAGTACTGTCCTAGCATCCTGGATCTGATCCGTTCCAATAGCTATGTTTCACTGATGGCAGCGGTTGTTTAGTTTGAGCCTTGGAAGGACTCACATACCAGTTCATAAGATCAAGCATAGGGCTGGGTGATATCCGGTTTTCAACTTTGTGATATATCACCAGCTACACATCGCGATATGCCAATATATCACAGTGTCTGAAATAAGGATGGAGCTATGTAGAGGCATTGGCTGGCTTCACAGTTTTTCCCCACATTGTGATTTTTGCATAGCACTCATGATTCACAATATATTGCCAGGTCAAAAATTATGAAACCGATATCACAATATGGACTTCAGACCTGTTTTGGATGATATATTGATATATCGCCTAGTCCTAAGCAAGGACTATACCCAAGCAACATAGCTATCAGCTCTCTGTACTCAACTTACACAATTCCTGATTTCCTTGCTTCATTTCACCTTTTCTTGTACATGGGGCTGAGAGTGGTTCACCTCCCACAGGGCTCCTTCTGGTGAATATAACTAAGGACTACTTGTTCAACATGGGAGCTTATAAATCTAAAGTAAATACATATAATTTTAAACATCCCCTTTCCTCAACATTCCCCATGACCTTCACCTAATTCTTTGATTCAGCATCAAAATATCTTGAAATAACCTTTTTGACTAGCTGCAGTCTCTTCTTTGGTGAATAATCAAGGGCTTATACTGGTGCCGAAGGAAACTTTTACTGTCTTGGCCATAAAGATCTAAATAACATTTGTGGATCAGGGTAGATGGTAGATCTAAAAAGGTTTGTAGTTCAATGCAGTGGACACCAAAATAGGGTAATCAGTTTTGCAAGCTGGAGACCAGCTTTGGTCCTCCAAAAGTTGCTGAAATAAAATTCCCCTCAGCTCTTGCAAACATGCTCTCGATTCTCAAGTGCTCAAGGCATGGCTTATCATTTCAAATTGAAACAATTTAGATAGCAAAGGACAAGATGATACTGGGTGTAGCAGAATTTGCCCACACACTCCACCATCTTCGTTTCATGGAAGGCATGAAATGGATGCTGTCAAATGTTTGGCAGGCTTTGCCTTGCTGACGCTTGAATGACGTCTTGAAAGCCTGTGAGCGTGAACAAAATTCATGTGCTATGTTGAATCCATGAATCCTGCATTCAAAGTGTCAGACATTATTTGCCACCCACAACCCTGCATCAGGCTAGTGTATTATGAGAAGTATAGATATGGTACTTGCCCAATCTGACCCCCCTCAATATTCTGTACTACAACTCCCATCATTCCTGAGCATGACATTTGGCTTGATCTGATGGGAGTTCTAGTCCAGCATTAGACTAGAGAAGGCCAGAGGAAAAGCGTCAATTTGAGAATGGAAGTTGGGTGTTGAATTTCTAAGCATAAAAATAATTGGTTGTTTTCAATGTAAGCATTGCCCAGGCAGGCACATTATGTGACCCATGGGAGCAGCAAAGCAACCAGACTGTACAATGGTGATGGGATAAAAGCAGACCAAATCTCTATTGACAGCAGCAGGCAGGGCAAGGGTTGGGATGGCATTGGGTCCCAGGATCAGTTCATCGTTCCATGTTGATGGAATGGATTTGCTGGGTTTGGATCACTCTAAACTGGTATGACAGGAGGCAGCCAGTGTTGAACCTTGCTGTGGTGTACGCCAAGCAAACAAGGTTTCACTGGGGGACCAGGGTGCAGATTCCAACCAGGCTGATACTGATCCCACGTTTGGGTTTGCCGTGGTCAATCCTCCCCTCAGGCCCCTTTGGGGCCCCCCTATACTATGTTGATCCTGACCAATGCCATTTCCACCCTCATACAAACAACGTTCTTCCACCTAACGAAAGAAAGCCACAGTTTCACTGAGGGAAAGGCAGAAAAATACCCAGCCAAGTGCCAATCAGGTTGAGAGAGAACCCGTGACCCAAAATTGCTCAGTGAAGGCTCTAACCCAACGGTGGGAGGGCAAGAAGCTCTCAAAGCTCCAGGGGAAGCAGCCTTATATAGGCTTTCCCCTCCCCTTTTCAGCAAGGGCTCATGGGACAGGTTTTTCCCATGTGCCCATCACATAGAGAAGATACTGGGCGAAACCTTGCCCAGTATTTTCCTGCAATCTATGGACACAGCACCTCCAGGCAAAGTCATCCCATGCTTATTTGACATAGAACGGGGCCTATCAATGAGAGAGCCTTTTCAGTTGTGGCACTGTGTTGCTGGAAAAACTCTCCAGACAGGCTTACCTAATGCTAACCTTGGTCATGTTTGTGGCACCAGGCAACCTCCTCCTTACTTTGCCACCCTTTTAAAACCTTGGCAGTTGCACAGATTCATTCTGGTGTTTTGTGTGTTGTTTTCATTTCACCATGTGAGTTGATAGTTATTCATCGCATTCCTATGCATATCTATGCCAACACAAATCCCATTGCTTTCAGTGGATCTAACACCTGGGTAAATTTGTATAAAATTGCAGCCTTTTAATATCTTAATTGTCTAAAGCACCTTAGAAGCAGTTCTGGTAAAGGGCAGTATAAAAATACTCTAAACAAAGAAATAAGCCCTCAAGTTGTGACATTTTGCATAAGTGTGACAGAAGATCGTCAAGGAAAATGTTCTAGCCGGCTCACTGGATAATGAAGAATTTGCTGCTGACCTTCGGAAGAGCATGACCTAGCCTTATAAGAAAGCGTTGCTTAAGGAATCTATTTTTTATTGACGGAGAGAGAAAGAAAAGTTGCAGGATTTGCTGCTGTGTGCCATCTGTGCATGGACAAATTGGACTGTGCAAGGAGGAAATGAGTTATTGTAAAGAAGGAACATTTTGTATTTTCGTCATGGAAAACTGGTGGAAACAGCAGTGTTTGAGCTTTTAGCATTTGGTCTTTAACTGATAGGTTGGGATATTTTAGTTAGAAAAGCCATTACTTCCTAGAGGTTGGGCACAGCCGATTATACCCCTTTAGAAGTCCTATTCATTGCTCTGTGACTTGTGCAGGATAAAATCCATCACTTTAAGTTACCAAATGATTACAAAATGCAAAGTAGTATGAATAAAATAACCACGGGATCTTGAAGTTGTTGTCCAGTTATGAGAACTGGAAATGAACCTCAAAATCAGCCCCTTGTAATAAATATGCTATGCTGAGTACATTCAGTTCCCAATATTTGGGGCAGTAGTTCTGGTTATCAAAATGTGCAAAGTGAATTGTTACTTCAGTAGCATAGCTTTGTATATCATAGAAGAGACTGATGCTCAATCTGCAGTGAGGAATAATTGTAAGAATAATCAAAGGCTTGCTGGATCAGATAAATATGAATGTTGAACTTGTTTTTAGCTTATGACTTGTACTGATAATTTTAGTGTACATTTTATATTTTATGCAAGTTTCACAGAGGTCTTTAGAGTTAAGCAGTTTGCAAATTCTGCTAAATAAATGTCTACAACTATACATATTCTGAGCGCAGGCACAATGGTACAGCTGTTCTGGAAACACACATTCTTCCCAAAATTTCAGAGAGATTTTGTTCCACCAGTTTGTAACAGAACCGAATTGTACACAGCTGTGATTGGGTGAGCAGTTGTGAGGTGACAATCCCTTCTCACCAGGTTTGCAACATTGATTTTCCTGTTTTAAAGAATGAGGGAACTAAATAATATTTCACTGATTGAATGTACATGTAGCGCTTTTGAAAGCGAAGCTGGAGAGCTCTTCTGAAGCGTACAAGATTGACGACACAGTCAGTATTGAGTTGTCAGCAAGGACACTTGACAAATAAATTGCAAAGGTGCAGGGAAGCCAGGCTCAGCACAAATAAGAACAAAAAACCCACCCTATGCTCATTTCTGTTTCAGTGTATGCTTATACACAGTCCATGTCAGCTTGCTTTTTTTAAAAAGAGCTAATTAGTATTGTTAAGTATTTGGTTTCACTCTTTCTTTTAGCCATTGCTTTGATGTGTACTGCTACACAGGTATTTCCTAACAATTTAAAAGCTGTAAATTTGACATTAGGGGTGGACTGGTACTGCAACTTGTCCATGTGTCATGCCCTCCTCCATCAGCCAGCCCTTGTGTCCGACCTGGACCCTGCAATCATCTTCTGTAGTCCTTCTTTGTGTGCTTCCTCCACTGAAGGTCTGGAGGGTGGCAACACAAGAGCAAGCCTTTTCTGCAGTGGCTCCCTGTTTGTGGAATTCTCTCCCCAGGGACACTCGCCCAATGTTTTCATTACATACCTTTAGGCGCCAGGCAAAAATGTTTCTCTGTAACCAGGCCTTTGACTGATAAACATTCTATGGCCTTTTAAATGTGTTTGTAGGAGCGGGGGCTATTGGTTGGCTTTTGTTTTATTATATATTATTTATTCTCATTTTGTAATTTTATGCTGTGGACTGCCCTGTGGTCTTCAGATGGTATACAAATTCAATAAATCTCAGACAGCCTAGAAAATGAATGGTTGCAGCTTTGAAGTATCCCGATATTTTTAAATGATATCTTAGTGGGAACTGCCTTAATTGGCTCTTCTATGTTTTCATTGTTAGGGATTGTATCCAATTAAGTAATACTCAAAGAAGACCCATTGAAATCAATGGGCTCGAGTTAGTCAATAGACTATTTCAGTGGGTCAGTTCTAACTATGAATGTGTCAGATAAACCCCCATGTTTATTTGCTGGTTTTATATTTTATTATTTATGCAGCGTGTGAATCATTTGATTGAATTGCTGAACATCACCCTGGAATGTTTTGAATGAGAGTGATTAAGAGATTTTTTAAAATGCTGAAACACCATTAACAAAATACAAACTCTCAGTGTATCTCACCCATCTCCTAACTGTAAAGCAAATGCAACTCGTCCCATGAAAGAGCACATATATGTAACCCACCAGCAGTAAACTAAGTTAGCTAAATAGGACCAAAACACGACCTCCATAGAAATTAGTGCTGGCATCTAAATTGATAGAGAGGATTTAGGCAACACAGCTGATAAATCTCTGAGCTGAACATGGAGATCAGCTTAACTTACCTTCTTGGACTTAGTAAATCTACTTGATATATCATCATGACTAAAGCTGTTCTATGTCAGTAGATCAGAGTTTTCTCTTTGATGTAGTAGCTGCCTGTAGGTATTTTATTATGGTCCTGAAGCATCTGTTTGACATACTCTCTGAGGACTAAAATTTTCCGTGGATGTATTTTTATTTATTTTTGTCCTACTAATGCAAAATCGTGATACATGTTGTCAAAGTGTTACATTATTCTAAAACATGGAGGTCTGGTATTCAGAAGACTGCTCTGTAATTCCTCTGAGATGAAGACATCTATTTGTGCAAATAAAAAATAAAGAAAAGATCTGTTTATTGCACACAACAAGAGGGGAACATTGGTGTATCCATGCTGGAAATGTGCAGCTGTACATACGTCCAGGGATGATAGCATTTGGCATGGGACCCATATAGTGCTTAAATAAAAATTATTGAGTCTCAAACTAAGATGAAAGCCATAAATTCTGACTTTGGAATTTCAACCCCCCGGTTGTATTTACTGAGTAGTTACAGCATGCATACGCAACATTTTCTTTATGTACCATTTTCTTTATAATGGGTGGTTTTCAACTAAGTCTTACTGAAATTAAGGGACCTAAGTTGGTTATGTTCATTAATTTCAATGGGTTGACTCTGAATAACACTTAGTGGAATGCCACCCTGTGTCACATGATCTAGGCTCAAATCTTAACCTTGAAGTGCTAGTGTTAAGTTGAGCCAGAGATTGCTAGGAGTTAAGTCCAATATCCAAAACACCAGAATACTTTTTGTGTATAATTGTGATAAATTATTCCTGAATTTACCCTTGCATTAGCGGAGAGCTTCAATAAAGAAAACAGAATATTTATTTCCCATTCTAATGTATTTTCAGCTTCTTACCCTCTTTTAAAAAGATCAAACAGCTATATGAAGAAACAGCAAGGTGCGTTGATATTGTCTTCACAAGTTCCTTGTGTTTATATTCTCACTTTGTGTTGCATACGCTCTTTTTTCTGTACAAACCTTTTTTTGTATTTCTTTGTAGAATGATTTAAATTGACTGGAAATAAATATTTTCCCATTAAATCTAATGGATGTCGTGACCTTTGCTGAGTGTTAACAGTCTCTCTAAATGAATGTCAACCTCTTCTATCAAGCACGCACAATGGGAGTTTTTTTGGAATATGAATAAATGTGCATTTTCAGCCTCCAGAACAGCAGGGGGCAACATAATGCAGAAGTGTATTAAAACACAGGGCGGGGAAGTTAGTCACTCCTCTTGCTTCAAGTAAATTTACTGGGCCTGTGTCAGCTGTGGACAGTGGCGTAGCATGGGGGGTGCAGGGGGGGCCGGCCGCACCGGGCGCAACATCTGGGGGGGTGCACTCGCACTCGCAGCTCTCTGCCCCTACCTGGCTCCATGGGTTAGGGGGTGCAAATTACTTGCCTTGCCCCGGGTGCTGACAACCCACGCTACGCCACTGGCTGTGGATAATGAAGCCATTTGTGGTCATCTCCATCCCAAAGGTTGTGAAAAGCATCCTTCCCTTGATGCGTGTTCAGGCTCATCTTTTAATAAAGCAATTCCATATTTCAGATATCCCAGTTTATTCCAGTTTCCTTCTTTGAGTATCAGCAGTGAAAGATAAAAGCTCCTACAATTTCCATAATGAATGGCTAAATTTAGAACACGTTTATGAAAATGTCACGCGGGCTAATTGCTGTAATTTTGATATTATCCTTTGAAAAGCGAAAGCCTCAAAATAAGCCCTTTTTGGATCACAATGAGAGATTTTTTAAAACAGGTACAGGGGTAGCCAGCACAATGGCCTTCTGATGTTGGTATGCTACAACTTCCATCAGGCCCTGCCAGCAAGACCATTGGTCAGAGATCATGAGATTTGCAGTCTGGAGAGCACCATGTTGCCTACCTCTGATTTTAAAGAAAGCCAACATAGTTTTGCTTTCTGTGAACATTAAGAAGGGCTGCCCTCATACACACTTGTCCTCTTGTACACTCAGACATACACACAGATCTTTTGGGAGCAGGGGACTTGAGTAGGAGGAATCGTCCTGGCTGCCACCACCAAAACACAGAGACACTTGTTAGTAAGAAAGATCTTTCTTCAGACAGGTGATGGCACAGGCTCGGCAGCAAAGGCTCAGGAATCATCATTTGGGAGCTATGAGTTTCGATGCATGCTCACTATCGGAATTTGCTTGTTTTGTGGGAATGTCAAGGTTGCAAATGTGCTCCCATTAGGGTGGGTGAATCTGCTTCTGTCTACAAAGGCAGCGCCTGCTTCTTGACAACTAAATGCACCCTCAAGCTCCTGTTTTCAGTCACTGCCGCCTCCTGTTCTGGCCCTCTAATCTCCACAGACGCTCTCTGCAGGAACATCATGGTAGAGATCAGACTTCTCTCATTTCTGAAGCAGCTGAAGTCAGGTCAGAAAGGAGCGATTCCCCCGGCCTTGAAACCAGGTCCCCATCATTCAGCCCTCATCCCCATTTCTTCCTCCTTCTCCACTTCTTATCTCAGAGCCTGCCAATCCAAGCCCAATCCTAACAGTGCTGTAAGGAGCCAACCCACATTCAACAGAATGGACACACAGGTCTGTGCTCTCTATTTTAATGAATGTGGAACCTTTACTACATTGCAGTTCCACTGCTGGAATAGCTTTTCACAGTGATGCTTTCCAGTAGTTTGCACGAAATTAAAGCATTTTGCCTCACCTTTGCTTGGGATGAATATATATGTAATCATCAATGTCTTGATAAATTCCACAGTTCCCTGGAGTTCCCTGACTGACTGCAGTTTGTTCTTTGCACTCATAACTAGAAGTCTTCTTCTGTAGCCTTTACTGTTTCTCGATCCATCAGTGTTAGCAAGACCAGAATAGCTCAAAACCCAACATCCTGCTCCAGCATAACACCCTCAGGCTGAAAGCATGAGATATAATACTGTTTCCAGAACCTTCTAGTTGCTAAGCCTTGACGGATGAGGGGAGAATTTATTTCTCCTTTGTGTTGCGGGTGTTTTCTCACTGGCTACAGCAAGGACATCTTTGGAGATTTATGTCTGCTTCATCCCATGATATGTTATCTCTTGCTTCATAACCTGACAGTTTATTTATTTTGTTGACGCACTCAGATTACAGCATGTTAAGTCAAGTCATGTCAAAGTTATGGCTATTGGTATCCCATTACTTTGGTCCCAACTGGATGCAAGATAGGGGTTGTCCTGATGTTTTAGGGTTTGAAAATCGGGGGTTCTGGGAGAAGAGGAATGAACCCTTCTCTCCACTCTATTCCCCTGATCTAAATACAGTACCCTCACTACCCCCTGAAACTGTATTAACTCCCTGGGAGAACACACACAAGTAGCTGCAAGGAACTAAAGTCATATCAATGAGCAGAAAACAGGAGGACAGTAGCAAATAATGCAGAAGGTCCGTGCCACTTCCCTGATGAGTCACTACCACATACTGGGATGGGGAAGGGAAGGCAAGGCAGCAGTAAGGTCCATGTGGTGCAGGGTGGATTTGATTTAAATCGAATCAAATTAAATCATGATTTAAATCACTAGTCAGTAAGACTTGATTTAAATCTTTTTTTACAGAAAGACTCATTCTTGCTGGTATCATCTAAATATTTACAACCAGATGAAGGTTTCATTTTTGGAATAATAAATCTTCAGAGTAGTTTTTACAGTTATATCAAAACTATTTAACTAAAACAACAACGTTATAGCATATGTATCCATTTTTGTTAACTGATGTGGTTAAACAATTAAAAAACAAAACCTTAGACTGAGTTTTAGCACACATGAAAAACTTAAAACAAATCCTAATTTCCTGATGAATAGCATTTGGACTATAATGTAACTTAAATAGAAAACTACCTTTAGAAAGATTTTTCCTCCGAAAGCATTTTTTTAAAAAAAGAAATAAATCCAATTTAAATTAAAAAATCCAATTTAAATCAAAAAAGTCAATTTAATTTTTATTTTTAAATCCAATTTTTATTTTTGTTTTTTTGTTTTTTTAAAAATTGATTTTTATCCACACTGATGTGGTGCTAATGTGCCTGCTGGGGTACCAGTTTGGGTCTCCCAATGCATTTGATTTGCACCACACTGACCTTGTCTCCCTCCCTCTATCCCAGTATGCAGCAATGGCTCAGCTGGAAGGAGGTCAAGTAAGCAGCACAGCCCTACTGCACTCTCTGATACTGGGGATGGGGAGGTGGGATGAAAACAAGCATGGCTGGCCAGCTGCAATGTTTTGTTGTAGGTTCTGTTTGTTTCTCACCACACATGGATTCTTTCATGACTTCCCAAAGTGCATTATTTGTTCTCCTGGAACCGCAGAGTACTTGGAATGTAAATATATAAACAGAGACACTGGTATTCTCTTCCACAAGACAAACTGTCTTTAGTAATAAATTTTTATAGCAATATTAGTACATTAAAAAAACAACCTAATTGAACCAAAGTTTTTCAATACCTTTCACCACCACCATGACCCTTGTCCTGAACCTTTTTGGCTATCACTTTAACCAGACTTGCTTAAAAAGCTTTTCTGTTTTCAAATTGTGCTTATTGTACCTCTCCCATTGAAATCAGTGAGATTTAGATAGGCTTAACATCATGCACATCTTTTGTAATCAAATATTTTCTTTCTTTCCTACAAAGAAGGGGGATATTTGATCCAGCTATGACTAGCATATGCTGATGTCTTCTGTTTATTTTCTGGCATAATAGGATAGTTTGGGTACAAAATAATGTTTCATGTACCGTACTGTTCTTATTTAAAATTCAGTATGCAGAATTTGGTGAATCCTATCTACCACCCATATGCTCAGCAAAGATAAGCCACCTTCATTTGTGGAGTGTTTCACGTTATTCGATTAGTTCTTTTTTAAACTGCTTTTTCAAATACAGTTTTCCTCCTGGTCTAAGAAAATGATCTGTTTAGTAAGAAACTGCCACTACTGGAAGACTTTTAGCCTCTGCCTCTCTCTCTCTCTCTCTCTCTCTGTGTGTGTGTGTGTGTGTGTGTGTGTGTGTTCACCAACTTAATTACAATTCCAGAGAGGCCTTTTGCTCTGACCTATTTCAAATCAGTCATGAAAATAACAAGCATCTTCAGCATCAGCTTGAGCAAGCATGTTTTCAGAACACCCCCATCTTTCATCCTGCCATTTCCCAAATCCAGAAGAACAAACATAGATACTTGGTCAAATTCTGGTTGTAAATAAATTTCAGTGGTGCATAGGTTTTCAGATAAATTGTATCATTTTCCCCCCCACTGCCCCCGATAAACTGCATGATGTAGAAATTCCAGCTGTGTAACAGATATGTTTAGTTTTGGATGTTCCTCTCCTTCACTGCTGATAACTGAATTATTGTAGAACATTGAATACTGTTCATTTGGATATTCATCTGGTATTGGATTACGGGCAACTATTCTCAACAAACTCAGTGGAGTTGTTGCAGGGAGATTTAAAAAAATAATAATCCTCAAAGCTTGTACAAATCTGTTCCTTCCCATCTACTACCTCCTCTTCTTCAGGGTACTCTCAGAGACTGCTATCCTGCATGCAGTGAGGTTATTCAAATCCCACTGAAATTAAAATGAATTAATTGTAATGCTTAGTGCTGATCTTGGATGATATTTTGAGTTTATAAAATTACTTTATCTGCAGAACTGAATCAACAATGGCAAGCAGTGTTGGAAAGCAAACAACGTAATCATATTTTAAAGAGTTCTAAAATTAACTCATAATTTGGGGCTGCAGAAGGACTTCTAAGGGCAACAATGCTTGATTCTTTCCAACTGTGTTGGAGCACTCCAGCTTTATTTGGGTGTTCAGATAATGCGTATAAGCAGTCACGTGACAGGAAGTGGGTGTGCAGCCCCTGAGCCCTTCCATCATATCACCTTGATCCTATTTATAGTCTTCCACAAGTTTGAAGGCAAGAGTCTGAATCAGGGAACATTCTCTATTCACAGAGCCTCTCTGCGTAATTTAGAACCCTGCACAACCAAGGTTCTAATTTTCACAAATGGCCTCCACAAGAAGA